CGAAAGTCTTATGAAACACTAGACCATGCCATACTAAGGAGCCGAATCGATGCTAGTGAATATATATGTTAACTTAAAATGAAGCATCATTTAATTAACTGTTGAATTGAGGCCTTTAAGAACAATTATGTTAAAAACAAGGAGACCTTTTGAGATGCATTAATGCATTGTTAAAAGACGCGGCGTTCTCTGCTCAAAATGAATGAGAACCTGTTCAGAAATTCTTAAAAGCGTTATGCAAAATGCTTTTATTCGTTTACTTACATTTTCAAAGAACTTCAAAAAAGTCAAATATTTCAACAATAGGTACGGCCTATCGCAGTGCACTATTCGAAAAAAGAGGTCGTAGTTAAGCAAGATAGAGACGTAGCTCAGGTTCATTTTATGCATGGCTGCAACTGCACACTGGAAAATGACAGGAAACTCGTAAATGAAGTTGGACATGTGAGTTCTTTCCTCATTCCAGACGGAGAACAATTCATCACATGGTAGCAAATGACTGTACTAAAATGCTGCAACAAAGCTCTTTCCTTATTTTTAACAGTGGAATCATCCATGGAATCAAATGACCCATGAACTTTAAGTTCTTCTTACAAACTTCAAGTCTGCTACTTAGGGGAACATGGGTAGTAAAAGGCTGTGGAAATTAATTCGCAAGAGCCGTTGCATGAAATCGTTATAAGGAAGAAAAATGCGTGGTAACAAATGGTAGGACGCTGCCACTTTGATGAAAAACGGACAAGCAAATTATTTCGCAGGGTTTCCTTAATTCCAACTGGCCGAAATTTTCGCACTGAGGGAATAGCACACACAATCGGGTTTAACGCTTTAGATAACTGTTATTTTATCCATCAGCCTACTGTAAGCGCGATAACAAGGGACGATGCATTTAACTGACTAAAGTAGGTCCGAAGTTTCAAGGTATGATACGTAGATGAACGCCTTTATTAGTTCATATCAAGAACACGTCGTTAATGACTGGAATGTCATACGAAGTCTGACTGATTCATTGAATGGAGAAAGTATTTGAAACCAGTTATGATAATTCTTGCGAATCACCACAATATGTACTGTATATTTAGATTCAGTAATTTCCACTTGCTTGATGATTGAACGGAACGAGATCGCAGATTTTTTATTATTGCTGTTGAGTCGCAGTCCTTATCCCCAAAAAATTTTTATCCTTCATTTAAATCCAGTATTTTAACAGTTCTGCTGAGTCAGGTTGCCATTATAAATGGGTCGACGGCATAATACACAATTTTTGCCATTGTTTCTTGTCTAGCTTGATCCTAGTAAAATGAATATTTTGTTCGCCTGCTTTTTGACTCCATCTGTCTAGTACCGTTTCTTTTGGCCCTCTGTTTATTACATTATTCGATATATGACACCGCTGGTACAGTCGTCGTTTGCGTTTGTCATTGTGAGGCAGAACCCGATTAGAGGCATTCGGCTCCATGCACATGCGCAGTCATGGTGGAAAAACGAACGTATACAATATTGATCATACTGATGACGTATTACGCTCATAAATGTGGCTCATAACCGCTTACGTCTTTAGGTCAGCTTGATGAAATGATGTTTTGGTTGCCGCTGGAATCAAGAAACTCCGGTTGCGTAATGAATTAGTGCTTAGAATGCTTCAGTAGCGCAAGGAACATTATGGTTGACAGGTAATCGAATGATTATATATGTGGATTTATGCATGGTGGTTATCGCATTTCAGTATTTATTAATGTTGTGCAGGAAAATGCGTTCTGCTTTTAACACCCGGATAAATACACCGTACAGTAGCAAGATAATTATTCTGTACTATCTAGAGAAATCAAAAGATGATACTTAAAAATGAACTGATTAATCAGGATACGAATTTAGTGCGGTACCACTTATTTTCTGTACAGCCTAGACCTTATTTTTGGATGAAATTTCGCCGTATAACCTAATTCCGAGTGTATCAATGAATAAATATATAAAGTGCGTGGGTATATTGGTATGCGTTCAACGAAGTAAACAAAACAATTTGCACAGTTGTCTTATTCACAATACCGTGTTACAGTCCCTCGAGATTTAGCGATTGTCCTCATACATGCGATGCCTTAGGGCGTGGTAGAAAATTGGCCAAGAAATCGGCTTAGAACAACGGTCCGTTTCGATTTGGCTCAGCGGACACTTTGTTTTTACCACGAAATCCCTTGAGAAAATAATTCACTCCACGTTGTTTCAGCGAAACCAGCCGAAAAGCGGGCAGTAAGTCGTTGACTTGCGAATAATGGAGACAGCACGTAGTCTGCTTTAGTCAGGCTGGAACGGACGAGGTGTACGGTCATGTCCATTGTGATTGCATTTTGTTTTGATACACTTCCTAGCTGGTTATCCTGTGTAAGAATCAGTACAAGGTGTAATCCCGATTTCGATCACTGATAATCGGCATTATACAATACCTTTTAAATCACCAGCGCAAATCAAAACGAACTCCAAGCAGGCGTAAACGTCCAAGATAAAACTTAACTTTCCTTACCTTGTTCATGACGTAGACCAAGTAGTCAGACCATATTGATAACGACTTCCACAGGGTACTTCATATGTTTTACCCGGATGACTGACGTTTAGATTAGATTGGTTCTTTCCCTAGTAAGGTTGACGATGCAGTTCTGCGTTTTTAGAGAAATAAGACACATTCTAAATACTTGTTTAGGTTAAGGATAAATCCGTGTGAGCTGGACCAGTCAGGCAGTTTCTTCATTTCGCTCCTGTATTCGTCAAGGTCTTCGCGGTTTCTAATAACTGCAGCGGCGGTTCTGCCGTCCGCATATTTCACGGACAGTCGCGGTAGTTGAAGTCTGAAGAGGTTGGTGTAAACTGTGAAAGTTAGTGGGTAGAGAGATCAATCTTTCTGTCTTAACTGAATGAGTTGCTGGTATGGTATTGGCTATAGACAAGGCAAGAAAACGATTCCGCACGAAACGCAGGCAAAAGACCGTCAGTGTTGTTCCTCGATATCGCCTACTGTCATTCAGACTGACATTTAGCTAGTTTTGGCTCCTACTTGAAATGCCGATGGCTCAGCAGCGGTCTTTCTTCAACAGCGTAGAGTAGTGCTGTCTTCCTTCCTGAACTTCAGTAACTGCTTAGATTATCTTGGTCTTGGGGAAACCTCGTGATGATATTCCTTCTCAGTTCTGCACCATAATGCGTCATTGTCATAGTTTTCATGGCCTGTTGAAACCATTTTTTCTTTAGATAATCGTCTCCATTTGTGCAACGGCGCCGGCTTTCGTTCATAGCGTTATACTTTGTTAGAAGGCAGAAGTTATTCTGCCTATTAGTTAGGCAGAATAATGGTACAAAATTTTCTGATGCTGTTTGCGCAGATAATGAAGGGCGTATTTGTGGTGCTTAGAGCTATTAAAAAGATTCATTTCTTGAAAGCTAATCCCTTGAGAAGACTAAGGTACCACAAAAGTATTAAATAGAGCAGAAATAAATACTGCAGAAGTATTTCGCTGTATTTCAATATTTCGAGATTTAGAAACGGACTGAAAAACTACACACGTGTGGTGATTTGCTTAAGATTTTACTGTTCATTGTTTACTTGTCCTTCAAAGTAATAATTCTGTTATACGCTTTGATTCATAATCAGATATTTCATAACGCTCAACATTGTTCATCCATGCACACCACCGTGTCATTGGGATACATTTAAGTTGATAAAGAAGTGGAAAAGTAATCACCTAAAACATGATTGAACTGAAAAAAGTTCAGTGGCATGTCTCATGAGCATAATGCTGAAAACGACCTAGCAGCAACTAAATCGAGTTAGCCTGAAAGCGCCATCATCATTGTTATCTAAGGCTAACAAAGTTACTCAAACTGGCGGTTAAAAGGCCGTCAAACTAGTTGGCCTATCAACCTTCTTTTCTTAACTTCCACATCTAATCGGGTCACATGCATTAGGAACAGAAGAGAGTCATTTCTTACGTGATCCCGCTAATTAACACTCATTCTGCTTCGAATCGAAGTCAGCGCTGCTGTTCCACCGTAGTTCTGGGTCCTTCGTCAGAACGGGTAACATGATCTTTGAATAATCGCACTCTAACCTGCAATGAAGGGAAGTATGTATGTTCAGCAAAAGGAAATCGCGTTGCTTTGATATGGTGCATCTGTTACCTTTAACCTTTATTGTACTCGTGCTATTGTGGAGCTCTGCATCCACTCGTATAGTGTGATTAGCCGGAGATAACCGTACACCGTTACTGAAGATGCTGGGACTGGGCTGGTGGTAGCAAAGACACTAATTTTTGTACCTGTAAATAGTACCGGAGGTCATATGGGTATATAGATTATACTAGCACACGGTTGGGCCCCAAAGTTTTATCTCTCATCTGGATAGTAAATCCTTGGTGGTGCCGAGTCTGTGTCGATAATCATTTTGCTTTACGCTGTGGTGACAGAAGTCCAACGAGAGAAGTCTGATACCGTAGTTGCCTCCGTTTCTTCACAATTATCGTTGACGGAAAAGCACGCCTAATATAAAAACCACAACGTCAGAAATTTACGAATTACAGGAAAATTGTTAACTTGAAAGGGCGTTAAGGCTTGTTTATTTTCGTCCAAACAGTCTATGCGACGAAACGTGTTTATGCTTTTTCATACAATGCCTGGGAATAGTTTCACTTCAGTATTATTCTTTTCCGTAATTATGGTTTCAGGCATATGGCGGTGGTCAGACTGATCTATTGATTTATCTATTTTCAGAGCCTGCTTCCTTTTGGATTGCGGGTGTAACAGCTTCAGAAGGTATCTGCAACGGTCCTGGAGTTTCGCAAATTACGTAGATCCGTTGGGTTTAGGCAGAAATATTCATGCATAAAGTATGATCCAATTGTTCATACATGGCATCCGATTAGACTGCAATACAGCCATATTAATGGGCTTGCTATTTATTTAGGACAGTATCTTGGGGTAGTTTAAATTTCTGGAGGTACATCAGATCGTGGATCGTAAAACCATTTAATAAGTTATTCTTGAAGCTTCAGTGAAAACAGTTGAAATTTCATAACTTAACAGCCTTGACGTTCGGCTAAATCTAAGCTCGATGAGTTACCTGTTTGTCATTTTAAAACGAATAGCAAACAGGTAGCAAATTGAGTTTAAATTAAGACCTAGCTTTTGACAGGTTCTAATCCTCTTCAGATCCTTACCGAATGTGCTTCAGTGCCTTGTGGCATTTCAGAGTGAAGGTTGGCAACAACTGTGTTGTCTGCGCGGAGGCCATTCTGATCGGAAATATAACTATTGGTAAACAGGATAAAACGCTTGCTGCCGGTTTTAACTTCGATTTTTAGGTGATGGAACCACTATTCATCCGCGAGCGCAGATAATTGCAGAAGCGGGACCAATCATCATCGGTGAAAATAACCTAATTGAAGAAAATGCATGTATCGTCAACCGGTAGGTTGCGATGATGCTGCTCAGCTTGTTCATAATCTGTATTTAAATAAGGCACGTTGGCAATCCTTTGGTTATTGGAAACGACAACGTATTTGAAATTGGTTCTCGTAAGACGAACGAACACGTTCTCACTTTATCGTGTGATTTCACAATTTTCAGGATGCGAAGCATCGAAGGTCGGCGATGGAAACGTCATTGAAATGAAAGGTAGGTCTTAATAACCGTGTTGTTATTTACTGTGATCGTCACCTCTAGCTGTTTTCGTAAGTGTGACTAACATCGATTGGGGTTGCTCAGTTGGTTGTCGGACTCAGAACCGAGAGGTCCCAGGTTCGAGCCCTGGTTAGATCAGCCTCTTTCTTCCTTTCGAGGTTGATAAATGAGTACCACTCCGTGGGAAGGAAACAGGAGGTTACACTCTATCTTGCTACATAGCTCCAGTTAGCTGTCTTTAAAATAAGGCGTTCCTGATTGATGGCACGAAAATGAAGATCAGCGCCCCACTATTAACTTCATGAAAAGAAGGACGCCAGAAATAGTCCCATCATGAACTGTACGAGGAAGACTCGCATTCCAGCGGTTATAAACTGTACTTCCTTTCCGTTTTTACGCTGCATTCTCAGGCTTTTCAACACTTACCATAAGTAATCGATTACTAACTAAATCGCAGAACGAATAATTTCTCCACATACGCAGATCTCTTTTAACTTTGTTGGTCCACGTAGCATTCGGACCTCTCGGTCAGCCTGCTGTTTATGTCGAAACATTAAAAATTCACCGGTTGAAATAGAGTTTATGCTGAACCAGTTTGTTTAATAAGGCCGATTTCTGAATCTGCTGAGGATACCTGTATTCGAAAGAGGATGGATTCATTTCATACGTTGTTGCAGCCTTTTAACCCGTTTTTCCACCGAGGCAAATGCTGTCATACCCTGTTCAACGTTGTTTCTTGGTCTTTATTTAGAACATCTGTCTCCATGTTTTACGGTGACACTGACCTGGCTGATCCAGATACAGAAGTTTTGTGAAACAGGTGCAATGACGACTTCCCGTAGTTCTGATCACATAAAATATATTTTTTTGTTACAAACTACTGCATTTTTATCCATATATTATTAATATTTGTGTGTATTTTGTATTGCATAATTGTACAGTATTGTATTTCGTTATACGTTTGACGTTTACGTATACGCTGTTGAAGTATGGTTGGAAAAGCATATCAAGGGGATTGAAACAAACCTAATTTTCTGAATTTGACTGAGTTGGTTCTGCATGAATTATTCTCAGAACTCATCTTCCGTGCAGAGCAAAAGTCAGAAGTACTGGTTGGTTATTGACTGCCGATCTTGTTTTTTCGATCTGAAGGGCAAGGTTTTTAAATCGTCTGTTAAGCTTTACCTTGATTATTCATGAAAACCGCGCGATGTTCGATATCATCTTATTACTTATAATTAATACGTGCGGTCTGATACTTATTGGCAGTTTTCGCGAATTTCTTTTAGCATTATAAAAGGAAGATGCTGTTCATGGTTCTGTTTTGGCTTCAAATACTGAAACCATCCTAAGATATTTTAATTAGTTATTTACAAAATATGCTGACTTGGACAGCTTTTAGGTGAGTTGAGAAATGTCGCAGCTTAATCTTGACAAACCTAGTTTAATTCCTAGGGCTTTGATGGTGCCGTAATGTTAGTCATACTCGTGTCACGTGACTTCTTAGCTCTAAAGCTGTGGAACAGCTGGTACCTATTGAAAGTTAAATTTTCTGTCTGAACTCTTTGCATAAGCCAGCATGTACTGGGTGGTGAGTCTTGCATCCTTTCCCGCCTTCAGGATACTAATGCCAGTTTTATGCTAATTGTAGAGACTGTCAGATTTTTCAACATGCTTGCTAATTAACATGCATTTACACAGAGTTAATAGTTTCTGTGAGCGGCATTTGGGTGTAACTTTTGTGTCGTTAAGCTCATGGATAAGCGAACAGTTGCTTCTTGATTCAAATATTACTAAGTAAACTTTACATTCTTTTGCTGTTTTCCCTGTGTAGCACGTACTTTCGTTGTAACCTCTCATTCAGTTGATGCAGATAATTATTGCGCTGACCTTTAGTTGATTTTTAGCTTCGGTTGGGCCCGATGTCGAAATCACGAATAATTGTGTTATCGGCGTCATGACCAACATAAGAACGCAAGAGATTCTTCAGAACAGTACGGTTATCGTTGGGGGCAGCGGGCACAGACGTAAAGCCGTCGAGAAAACTTTGGTACGATAGAAATATTGTAATTTTCATAACTTAGAAAACATTTTAGAACCAGAAAGCCCAGTTCGACGTTTTGACGAAGGTGCTCCGCAGTTACCATTATATGTATTCACAAGGCAAATAGAAACCATACTGCATTTCATGTTTGCACAGAAGTATTTGATATTGTTACTGTCCGTAAACGTCTTGTATTTTGTTTTTCACTAACCAATAATATGGGACTTTTGAATCTTCATGGCCTACAATGAAAGCAATATGAGACTCTTTGTAGCTTGTTTTCAATTTCATTCTCACCAAGATTAATAAATCATGGATCACGAGATTTTCTATCGTTTTCTTTTTAGCCTGTCGACTAATTTGATGCCGTAAATTCGTATTTTTGGGCGTCCATTTTTTTCTACATCCTTCAACACGCATAATCTTTCCTAGCAGTCTGCTTGTTGCCATTTCTTTCACATGCCCCCTATTACTATCACTCTAACCGGCGTTTTTGTTTTGCTTATTATTGTAAGCTACAACCTCGGTTTTGGTGATCCTGTAGATTTAAATAATTGCCCATGGTCAGATCATTCCCATTACCCCCCACCAGAATACAATGACTGGATGGCCCTCAGCAACTTGCCATCAATCCCGTATGTACGAAGGCATGTCCAC